TGACTTTTTATTTTACACTTTTGCAATGCTTTTATTTGTATTTTAGAGTATATATGAGTTTCCTGGAAAAGTTTTTTCAGCTATTCTTATGTTTATACAGTGACTAAATAAATCTGATGCTAGTAAGATTTTCATTAAACTTTGGGTATTCTCTTAACATACATGCGTAGGTGTTAAATATAAAATAAGCACATCAAGCAATTCGATTTCAGCAGTTATATAGACTATATATATATATATGCTTATTTTATATACGACTTGATATACTACGTGAAAAATTCGTTTTTTTGCTTAGAACAACGAGTGTATTGTATAGTAAAAGAAAAAATACACAAAGCATGCATATACTAAAGCAATTGTTTTGACGAAGGTAGCGAAACCCTAAAATACTGACCCATAATATTATGCTTTTTTTCTAACCAAAGGATACGCTAGACTTAAAAGATTAAGGGATGTAAAGATATTTATTAAGATAGAGCCAAATATACTATATATGCTTTACGGTTCTTGGCAATCAATTTGTAATCTCAATTATAGGACGAAGATTTACATTTTCGGATTAAACTATTCGTTACGCTGCCTATGCTCAATCTAATTATTTTAAGTCTTAATCCTTTGCATATACTTTAACTGAATTATATGGCAAGCCTTTTTCTGATGCCCTTTATATTAATACGAACACAGTCACATTTAAAATGGTTCAGACCATCCTTGCTAAGATTAAAACGACTTATTATTGTTTATTTAAGCAAGGATTGTCTCATCTTCATTAAAATTAGTTGTATGAAATGAAGTAATGTCACTTAACTAAGAATGAAATCCACCTAGTAAATATATCTAGCAAAGATTCATCATCTGCTACATTTAACTTGCCAGATTAGCTTTGCCTAGGCATAAGTCTCTCAAGTTAACAAAGTTCCGACAAAATTCTATGAAGATAGTGAGCATCCGCTACCAAATGTAATCGATATGGATGGCAAGTAATCTCAATAAATGAATTTCAATCCTTATCCAGAAAGATTCATATTTATTAATAATGATTGTAGAATGATTAACCCCCTTTGAAAGCAATCGGAAGAGTCTTGTTTTTACATTTTAAAACTGACGTTTCCATAATTACTTAAAAGGAACAATAAAAGTTCTCATTCAACTAGCCTTAAAATACTATCGATAAATGTACCCAATTTGATTTGGAAAGGTAGATTCAGTTCTTAAAGTATATTCCTCCTTCATAAATGTTAGTGAGTTGATTATGTTTTTATTGCGAAAAATATTAATAAATTAAATCGATGATATTATTTTCACCCAAATAGTGGTAAAAAAATCCGGCTGCTTTAAGTAACTCAAAATATTTTTTTTTTCAATTCAATTCAACTAATAAATGGGAAAGATCTAAGCTTTTGGTATTAGTCTATATTAATATTTTTGAATATTAGATATTAATATTTTGTCTTATGCTGAAGCGTTCTTATGCGTGTCATGCTATGGCTATCAACTTTTATGCTCGAAAAGCTTAATTGTTTTTCGTTTGGTAAGTGTTCAAGTTCACTGCGAGATGCTTGACCTACTCAGAAATTTTTGTATGAGATGTTACTCACTGGTCACTAAAAACGTGCTCAAGGGGTGATATTTCAATGTAGGCGGAAATGAGGTGAGTCTATCATCAATATCAATTGATAAAAATTTCTATAGGATATTAAAATCTCAGTGTTTATCAAATAATTATGCAGCTACGAAAGTTAGCTACCCCTTTATTAAATCATGGCCAATTCACTCTGTACTCAGGTACTAGAAGCAAATATCAATGAAATTTACAATTTGAATAATAACAAGCTTTAATGCAATTAGTAAAATTAGGTTAGTTGTGGAAATAAGTACTCGTAAACTAACTCTTTGCCCGAAATATTAGTTTACACTATTTCACAATTCTCTTGACTGACTGCAGTATATTTTATATACGGCGGAGATCTCTATTACTTATTACTACTATAGTAGTTGTTTGATGGCAAAAATAAACTTCCCAGCTAAATAGTAAACATACTTTATCATTTTGTCACAGGGGTGTAAAGAATCTAGAAATCCTCTGAGAACTATACCATTCATT